CTCCCGATCCCCGCCATATACATACAAAGACAGAAACTAATAAAGTCTATCGAGCTTAAAAGGCTCACAGCCACATAACCACGCATACATGTAATTTTATCCTCTTCTTCTTTTTCTTTGCATTATCAGTTACTCCGCCATAGGGTCATAATTGCAGCTCCTCACACTGCCCCTCATGTTGCACCCGAACTCGGAGTGCATTCCGCATCTAGTGTCTCGCGCATTCGCTCCATCTGCTCCCTGACATCTTCTAGGTCCCTCTCTGCATAGTTGACTATCTTTTTCACCCCGTACTTTCTACGCAGCTCTCGGGCCCGCATCCTTTGTTGAATGTCCTCCTCCCTTAAAGGAGTGGGCCGACCCGAGGAGAGCAGCCGCCGCCGTCGCACCAGTGCGGGGGCTTCTTCCGTGAGTAAACTATCGCCCTGAGGGTTGGGTAAGCCGGGAAAAGTGCATGGCCCACTATCCGCGTCCACCTCTGCATCCACGTCCCCAGCTTTATCACTCGTAGTTTTGGATCGAATAGCCAGAGGAGGTATTATCACATCGTTCTGCGCCAAGTTTTCACTCTGCCACTTGGAATAATGGGACAACGACCCCTCACTAGGGTCGGGTCCAATAATTCCACTGTTAGCAATCTGTTGTCGGATCGGCATTGGTGGAAGTATGTTTGCTAAAGGCTCCTCTTTAGCTGCGTTAATTGTGGACAATTGCAAACTAGGAGGCGGCACGATTGGCTTCAGTGCTTCAAAGGAACCCGTGGCTCCCTCAGGATTCCACAACGGCTGCACATTTTTCATTTTTAACGTCTTTCCTGCTGGACGCTGCGGCAACGCGGTGGGTTGACCCACACCAGCAAATAATGCTCTTATCGTCGTCGTCCTTGTTGTTGCCGTGATAGCTGCACCTTTGGTCACGGCACCGTTGTCACTGTTGCTAGCTGCGGCCAGGGCTCGTCCTGCCGTACGCTCCTGCGCGAGGTTATGCAGCCCCGAGGCGTTTTCGCGGGGAATCCTCTTCTGTAGCTTCTTGCGACTGTCGCGCGGCGACACGCAATGCGCGGCGGCAACCTCACCACTTGCCCCGCTCTTACTCATTGTCCCCTCCACCGCCGCCAGCTGGCAGAGCAGGAAGGAGAACAAGGCAGCGAACCCCTGCAACTCGAAGGTGTGGGGGGCGAGTGCGGGCCGCTCCCGCATCGCCTCCTCCCACGCCTGCGGGAACGTCACTCCGCCCTTTACACCGTCAACAAACAGCCCCACCACCGCGCTGGCGAACCACTGCAGCATTTTCCCCAGCTCTGAGTGCTCGCCAGCGGCGACAAAGGCACCCTCCACAAGCAAGTGTGATGGGCATCCCCGTGAAACCAGAAAACTGCTTATTTGGGCGCAGACGGATTTTTTTCCAAAGAAGTGGCAAGCACAAGGCCGCCCCTCTGCGCTAGTCATCTGTTCCAGGCTGGTCACGATTTCTTGCATCTGCTCCGAGCTCATCGCCGCAGGGAGCGCGGAATCTGCGAACGCGATGGTCTCCACCCCTTTCGAGAGAGAGGAGAGCGCCATTGGTGCCTCCCTCTCCACTACCAAGAGAAAGAGAGATACAGTCAAAACCGACCTTCCGTTGCTGCTTCACAGAGTAACTCCTACTGGCACAAAATGCAACGGCGCAAAAAAACAGCCTCTTCAAATTGGCAAACAAGAAAAGTAGGTAAGGAAAGGAAGCTAATAGATTGTTCACGCAAAGGAAACCAATGCACGCGTGGGGGCAACATGGAGCGTCACTATTACTATTATTATGTTTTATTTTGTATTTTATTTTGGCGCACACGCTGAAACCAAAGGTCAACTGCTGCAGCCAACGCATAAAAGGGTAAAACACATCAAAATAAAACAAAAAGTAAAAATAAGAAAGAAGAAAGCCAACGTCTTCTGTTGCTGATAAAATATAGTTACATTGCTGAAGTAGTTGACTCAGTGATAGACACTTTCTTGCAATTCCTTTGAATTTTCTAAAGTGGCACACGCCTGGGGGCGGGAACGACAAACGGTTTGGTACCATGCAGGGCTTGTATCTCTTTGGTGTCTACGCAACGCAGCAAAGCGGCCGTTTCGGTATCGTACAAAGGCTCAAAAGCATCTATACATGAATGCTGTACAACATTGCCGAGGTGCTTGTTCCCATTTCCCGCGGAGGAGCTTGTGATGGGAGGCAAACTGCGCCCATCTATGCGGCTACGGTTCCATGCACCACGAAATATGCGAAAGCTTGAAACATTGTCACGCCCTTTCGCATCATCGGTTACTCGCCCTTGATTGGGCCACGTGGAATAACCCTCCCCGGTAGCTGCAGGCACTCCCCCGTTGTTCTGCCGTTCTTTCAGAACCGTTTTTAACGTCTCCCGCACCTTTCGTATGTGCTGCGGACGCAACGCCGCCTCGCTATTATGCCTGATATCACCTTCAACGCTTGATCCATAAACAGACATGGTCGAACAGGGAACCATGGGGCGCCTGTAGACGCCACTCACAGACACCGTTGAGACCAGGTGGTGCAACTTCTCTGTCGCCTCCTTGTAGCTCTGTTTCTGAAGTGTTAGCCGTGCTTCCGCGTCCCGTTCGACTTGAGCGTGGTGCAGCTGCGTGGCCATTTCCCGCACCTCTGAAGACACCCTCAGCGTTTCCTCAATGTACAGCTTCCTGGCGAAGAAGTTGTCTACATGACACCGCACATAGTACCCACGGAAGCAAGCCTGGATGCGTGTTGCGTAGTACTCGTAGACAGCCCTTTCATGCGACTCCTCCGCCTCCTCCCGTCGCTTCATCACACGCTTGCGCTGCATGTGGCCACGATACATCCGCTGCACACACACCACAGCCTTCCTCACCACTCGATACGTACGAAACTCCCTCCACATGCGGTACGCTGATTGTATCTTCACCGCCGCCACCAATTCCTCCTGCCGAACAGAATTCGCTTGCGCTATCGCCTCCATGAGCGCCGCGACCAGTTGCGGCACCATTGGTTGAACATAGTCACAAGCGCTCATCCTTCCCTACGAATATATTCTATAATAGAAAAAAAGAACAAAAAGAACAAAGAAATAAATAACAGGGCACTAGAAAACTAAAATAGCACGAACAAGAAAAAGCCCAAAAAGAGTAGAGAAAACAGCTACAGTAGCAAGATTGCCACGACAATTCGCGCTGCGTCAGCATGCCGTCTATAATCAACAGTCGGAACGCAGGCATTTCTGCCAGCGCCCAGTGTCATAAGGGAGTACGTCACACAGCATTAAGGAATTTCATCAGGGTGCGCATCAAGGAAAAGAGAGAGAGAGAGAGAGGCCTGCTCAGAGAATGGATTAACTATGCGGCCGTCATAGAGCAATGCACCTCTCGCCAGAGCTGCAGTAGTATTTTGGAATTCCCTCATCGCCGCAGGCCGCCCGCACACCGCCTAAGCCACGTCATCTGGGCGCTCTCAGGTCCACGCAGGAGATCAAAGAGATACACTCACCGGTGGGATTGTTCAATGAG